ACACTGCTGGCTCATATTTAAGTGATTGTCCACTAGGACCCCAAGATCCCTCTCACAGTTGCTACTATTGATCCAGGTACCACCTATACTATACCTGTGCATTTGGTTTTTCTTGCCTAAATATAGAAGTTTACTTTTTTCACCATTGAATTTCATTTTGTTAGATAGGACCCAATGTTCAAGTCTGTCAAGATCCTTCTGTATCTCGAGCCTATCTTCAGAGTGTTGGCTGTTCCTGCCAACGTGGTGTCATCTGCAAATTTGATGAGCTCCCCATCTATCTCCTCATCCAGATCATTGAAGATGAAGATATTGAAAAGTACTGCATACTTAGGAACTAACCAACTGTATACTTTCCTCCATGTAGATACAGTTCCATTGAGGACTACATGTTGAGTGCAAGTGGCCACCAGTTACGAATCCACCTGGGTGATGCTGTCTAACCCATTTTTCTATCTTATCAAGTTGTAGATTGTGGTTTACTTTTTCAAATGCCTTACTGAAGATCAAGTAAATTATATCCACAGAATTTCTCTGGTCCACTAATTTTGTCACTTTATCAAAGAATGCAATAAGATTGGTCTGGCATGGTTATGACTTTGTTTGCCTCTAGGTGTTCGCAGATTCGTTGCTTGATTATCTTTTCCAGAATCTTCCCACGTATTAATGTCAGGCTGATAGGTCTGTAGTTTCCTGAATCTACCTTTTTGTCTTTTTTTTTAGGTTTAGCTTCCTAGCACTTTACCTAGCACTTTAGCACTTTGTTTTCTTCACTCTTTCCAGTTCCTCAGTGTCTTTTCTGTATTGTGGAGGCTGGAACTGGATGCAGTATTCCAGGTGTGCTGTGACCAATGGAACACAAAATGATATTGTTTTCTATTGTCTTGATATTATAGATGCAGTAAAAAAAACCTGCACTGGCTTTTCTGGCACCTGTGCTACTTTGCTAACTCATGCTTAATCTATTGTCTACCAAGATAACCAGATCTTTGTCTCAAGTACTACTGCTAAGGCAGGTAACATTTATCTTGTATGTGTGCATTGGTTTTCCTGTCTAAATGCACACCCTAACATTTCTCATCAATCATCATTTTGCTGGATAGGACCCAAAGTTCAAGTCTATCAAGATCCTTTTGAATGTTGACTTGTCTTCTGGGGTATTAGCATCCCTGTTCCCAGCTTTGTGGCATCAGTAGATTTTATCAATATCCCTTCTATCATCTAGATAATTTGTGAAAATATTGAAAATTATTGGGACTGGGACTGAAGCTCAGGTACTCCACTGCATACCATCCTCCATGTAAATATAGATCATGTCCCACCAAGTTGCAGTTATATCTACACTGTCATCCTATACTAGGATTAAATTCTTCCTGTTCTTGCCCATACTCTGTGAATTCTATAAGCCTCCGAGTCTTTTAATAATGTCCTCCTTAAATTCATGTGCAGCATCTCTTGGTGTATTCTTGAGTACCCCTTTCTTTCCACTTATCATTTCCTTGTTGTAAGGTTTACTGTTTTGGATCTTGTTTTGGGCAGGGATGGGCAATTAATTTAACCAAGAGGCCACATGAGAAACTGAGACTCTTGTGGAGGACCACTGCCATCCCACTGTCCTGCTGCCCCACCTCTTCTGCCCTGCCATTACCAACCCTGCAGACCAAACAGGGACAATTGAAGGGCTGGATGTGGCCTATGGGCCATAAAATGTCCATGTCTGGTTTGGGATGTGATTTTAAGTAATGATCATCCTCTCCCTCCAGATTTAGTTTAGAGACCTGCAAATAACTTAATCAAGATGTCTTGCCAAGCTATTCTTCCCAGACTTTTATGAGATGCAGCCCATCTGTTGCCACAAGGCCTTCTTGTCCACACATCCAATTTTCATTAATAATAGAAAAATCCTGAATCACGAGTAAATAAATTGCAAAATTAATCACAGTGATAAATCATTTGGTACTGTAACAGGTTATTTATATGCATAGACTAGACTTCTCTAATAGGATTGTTGCAAAGTATAAACATGTTAAAACCCACCTACTAGATCAGTCTCACTTAATGAATACTTCAATTATACATCAGCTTTGCAAAGCACTTGCAGCTGTTGTCTACCATAAATCCACTTTTCTTTCCATTCATGTTTGAATAAGACGTATTAGGAAAAGAATAATACCAGGTTTATAGGTGTTTAGCATTATAATATTGCATAGAAAGTTACTATAAAGTTGAAGATCTGTACATGATCAGATGCCAAATTTGATGCTTTGGTGATATTTGGCTTTTTGGAAAACATTTCATAATAGATTTGCTGCTCTGTTTAATGTTCAAAAATTACTGTGATTGATCCTTGGAAATCTTTTAAAAGTTGCTCTTAGCTTCCATTCTCTCCACATTTATAAAAGGCGTTAGGACCTCCTTTTTCTAAATCATTTGAACTGCAGAGATTGTTTCAGTTTAGTTAAGCAATTGAAATTATTATTCTTGTTACCTAACTTTAAGCAGTTCATTGATGGAATGGTGGGGAAATACATTTACAGTACCATGCTAAAAAGGCGATCCATCTATTGTTGATTTGGTTCACCATTGAAGCACACACTCATAGCACCCTTTCATTCACCAAGCTATCAAATAGAATTTGTGTGCTTCTGATTTTGTACAAATTACTAGAGCTCTACAAAATCTCCAGAAGAGCTGCTTTGGGATGCTCAACAGCATGTAGAAAACATGTCTTCTTCAATAAATCAGTCACTTTTTCCCCAGGCATATGCAGTGTTGTGGAAGATTCTGGCTGTCTGCCCATGGGCATTTTTCCAGCCTTAGGAACACCACACTGCAACCTAGCACAAATATTGTAGAATCCCATTTATGTAGAAAATGAATTCAATAGTTTCATTGGGTTGGGTCATGTCACCTCTGGCCAACCCAGTAAATACTTCAGTAGTGAATAGTGAACTGAAGTTACCTCTACACAACAGGATGTTTATGTTTATTTTTATCTCACCCTTATTATTTTGATAAATAACTCAAGGTGGTGAACATATCTAATACTTCCTCCTCCTCCTGTTTTTTCCACAATAACAACCCTGTGAGATGTGTCGGACTGAGTGACTGGCCCAAAATCACCCATCTGGCATTCATGCTTAAAATGGGACTAGAACTCACCATCTCCTGGTTTCTAGCCTTTTGCCTTCACCACTAGACCAAACTGCTTCTTCAATCAATAAAAAAAAATCAATTTTATGTATCTCTAAAAGGCTTTAAAGCAAATTACCAATATAATCTAAACCTAATATTAGATAAAACAGTTTAACAAATAAGACGCTTAATAAATATTATGTAATACACTTAAAACCCTAATTGATTTGTTATTAAAAACATTGTTTTTATAGCCATAGTTAAAAATATGGCTGTTGCCACTCTAGTTTTAGGATTTTCATCTGCAAATAAATTTTTTCCATACTCAGAAGTATCTCTTCCTGGATTTTAAAGTAGGCCAAATAACTTCCTGCGGAAGGATTTTATAAAACTCACAATATAATAAAATATAAAATATAATACAAGATCAATTTTCTTACTGGGACAAAATCTTTTGAGATGGATTTTTTTTAAATTTACCAGATAGCAGATTTGATGGCAACACAACAAAATTGTGGCATTTGAAAAGATTATTTTGTATTTACTTACATATAAGCTACTTAGATATTTACAGAGTTGAAAAATATATGCGTAGTTAATTCCAAGAATTACAGGTGTAAGCATGAAACTTAGGCTTTAGCCATTAATTCCTATACTAAATTATCCCATCAACTTTGTTTTGATACAATGAAGTGCTCTGGACTTCATTATATCAAAACAATATCACTGAAAACTAAATAATCGGGATCAATGCTAATTGACCAATTTTTTTGAGTAACTTGTTTAAACCACATATCTACAAAGGATGCATTTGGCATTTCTTGAAGCAATCCTTCCTTGTTTTTAAAATATAGATTTGCTATCAAAACTTAATAGAGCTTAACCAAGCCTTTGTTGTCAAAAGGCATTGCCCAGTTTTGAAGAGAATAATAGAATTTGTCCTACAACTTAGAACACTTAAAAGAGGTCTTAAAAAGTTTACCAGCAAATGTGCTGTTTGTTGGTAAGCAGCACATTTACTGCTTGCTGTGCTGTTATCAGTAAACGTGATCCATTGTTGCAGGAAAAATCTTCCCTTTTGAGTAAAAATATTGAAGCAAGGCTGTCATAATAGATTTTGTTTTTAGAAGTAATGATGTTGGCAGGTTACAGCATGGCAAATGCAATGCCAAGTAACTAAAATTCTTTACTTCTGTTGTTATATGATCTTAAATTTTCCAGATGTATTTTTAAACTTTTGTTTTTCAAAAGCCAAAATTTTATGATTTCTAGATCATTGAGATGTTAAGTACTATAAAGTAAGATGCCAGGATTCAACCTTCTCTCACTCCCTCATTCTTTTTAATATTTAATATTTATATTTAATATTGATATTTTAAAAAACATTTGGATCAACAGGTATGTACCAAAAAGGGCAAGGTGTATGAATTTAGCTGCCTAGGGTCCAAGTATATTTATAATTGGCAAACTAGTCCTATTTTTTCCTGATGATCAAGCTTTTAACCCTTTATCTAGGCTTGCAATACAGTAAAGCCAGTGCCTGATAAAATATAGTCAGAACAAACCTCAACTGGTTTATCACTGATCAAACAAAAAAGCATGACACAACCTTTTTGAGTAAAATATTTAAAACTTCATAAGTATATAATATTCAACAAAGCTAATTATATGTCCTTTTGAAGATTGCCTAGATTTGCACGATCTCTAGAGGTCAGACTTATATCATTTCTGTATAGCGGGGGTCTCCAAACTTGTCAACTTTTAAGCCTGCTGAGGATTTCTGGGAATTGAAGCCCACAAGTCTTATTTAAAGTTGACAAGTTTGGAGACCCCCTGCTCTAGGCCAGAGTTAAACTTACCATGCCATGGCACAAGTGGTGCTTGCTGTGGAGATGTAATCATGGACAAAGAATTAGATTAAGGCCAAACGTTTGCTTAGCAGAAACTGATTCTTTTTTTCCCTTTTGGTCGGATACCTGAGCAAACGGATGGATAAAATGAAAGAGTAAGGAAAATATCAGAAAATCAGGAGGGGGAAAGGGAGGGAGCTGGGAGAGAGGCAGGCCCAGCACCGTTCAGGCCCGCCTCTCTTGGCACGGGAGAGACTTGCCTGAACTTTAATCTCGACGCTGCCACCCAGGGAAGCCCCGCCTGGTGAAAGAGCGGCACCGGGCAGCCCGAAGAGTTGGGTGCCCTTGGCAATTCAAAAGTTCAGCGGGGAGCGACAGGGCTACCCCTCGCCTCCTGACCGGTCTGTCAGGCGGGCAACTAGAGCGCACGGCTCTCCTGAGCGGCGGGGGGGGGGGGGACGGCGGGAGGGCCGAGAGCGCGCTCAGCCCTGTCTTGTGTCCCCTCCCCAGGTGAGAACGGGACCGTCGGTGAGGCGAAGAAACGCTGCGGGGAGACGGAGCAGCCGCAGCAGGGAGAGGCTGCGGAGGGCAGCGGCGAGCGATCCCTGGCGATGGAACCGAGCGTGGCCCCCGAGGAAGGGCCGAACGCGCAGCTTCCCCTGCAGGCGCCCTGCAGCTTCAGCTCAGCGCTCTGCTTCAGCTCCTCCGGCGACGGCAGCGGCGGCGGCGGCGATGACCAGGCTCCGCATCCGGAGGTCGACGCCGCCTCCCCTTCTTCCTCCTCGTCCGGCAGCTGCAGCAGCAGCAGCCGCCGCGTGGTGAAGCACCAGTGGGACATTAACAACGCGACGCCCGAATCGGAGGAGGAGGAGGAGGAGGGCGGCAGTCGCGGCAGACCCTCGCCGGTCTCCTTGGGCGCTCCCGATCCGATCGGCGAGCCGCCCCTTCAGCCTTTTCCTTCGGAGGAGCCGGACTTGGTGATCGAGGTGTCCGGCCGGCGGATCCGGGCGCACAAGGCGGTGCTGGCGGCCAAGAGCGACTATTTCCGCGCCCGCTCCTCGCGGGACATCCTGCGCGTCAAGGGGGTGAGCTACGGGGCGCTGCGCCTGCTGCTGGAGTACGTCTACACGGCGCGCATGGGCGAGGTGCGGCACGACAACCTGGCCGAGGTGGTGAGCGGCGCCCGCGTGCTCCAGATGCCCTGCGCCCTGCACTGCGCCGCCGAGGCCATGCGGGCCCAGCTCAGCCTCGACAACTGCTACCAGCTGCTCTGCCTGGCCAAGAAGCAGCGGCTGGCCGAGCTGCGCGAAGCCGCCTTCCGCTTCATGAGCGACCACTACCTGCAGGTGCTGCGCGAGCCTGCCGTCTACGGGCGCCTCAGCGGAGCCGAGCGGGACCTCATCCTGCGGCGCCGCCTGGAGGCCGGCAAGGCCTGCCTGCTGCTGGCCGAGGTGAGCGACGCCTTCGAGCGGCTCAGCGCCAGCAGCCGCCCGCAGAGCCGCGAGAGCAGCCGCCCGCAGAGCCCGTCCTCGGTGGTGTCCCTAGAGGACGGCGGCGCCCTGCTCTACAGCTACCAAGAGGCGGCCCAGGAGTGGAGCGTCCTCACCCGCCTGCCCGAGGAGGCCAACGCCAAGGGCTGCGCCATGTGCGTCCTGTATAACTACCTTTTCTTAGCCGGCGGGATCTCCAGCGGCCCCGGCGACCAGCGGCCCAAGCTGTCGGACAAGGTGTTTTGCTACAACCCCTTAACTGATACCTGGAGCCAGGTGAAGCCCATGGGGCAGGCCCGCTCTCAGCTGAAGCTCCTGGCCCTGGACGGGTATCTCTACGCGGTGGGTGGGGAATGCCTTTTTACGGTGGAGAAGTACGACCCCCGGGCGGACCGCTGGACCCCTGTGGCCCCTTTGCCCAAGGGGGCTTTTGCCGTGGCTCACGAGGCGACCACGTGCAACGGGGAGATCTACGTGTCTGGGGGCTCCCTTTTCTACCGGCTCCTCAAGTACGACCCCAAGCGGGACGAGTGGCAGGAGTGTCCTTACAACAGCAGCCGGCGCCGCTCGGCTGACATGGTGGCCTACAAGAGCTTCATTTACCGTTTTGACGTGAGCAGCAGTCGCGGGGAGCAAGGGCAGGGGGCTGGAGTGGAAGTCTTCCAGTACAACACGGTGGCCAAGCACTGGCGTCAGTGCTCGTCCTTCCGCCCCACCAGCAGCCCGGTTCAGCCCTTTCGCTGTGCCGCGTTGGGCAGCACCGTCTATTGTGTCAACCGGACTGGGATGCTGAGCTTCAACTTGGCTCAGAATGGCGAGGTGGAAGCGGACGGGGGACTTAAAGGCACCTTTGACACAGAACTGCTCAAAGCTCCCTTCGATGCGAAAGGTCTCCTCCTCCCGTTTGTGCTTATTCTCCCAGAGAAGGAGAAAATGGGGGAGCCAGAGAGTCCTCTGTCGTTGTGAGAGCTGACCTGAGGTTCGGTTCACTGCTTAGCATGCAGTTTGTCCCCTTTATCTGTGATGTCAACAGTGTAGGGCTTTTACTGAAGCGTGGATGAGGGCTGGCACAAGCTCTCCGGTCTTGGGTGGTGATGATGGTCGGGCTCCAAAGGCAATAGAAGAAGTAGCAGAAGCTAATCCGAGGTGGAAAGGCAGCAGTATGTAACAACTCCTTTGAGGCTATAGGAGCAAAGAGGAGACCATTGTCAAAAATATCCTTAATTCATGCATGCACGCACCACCATGGGGGATTATTGTGTTCCACCTAAAAGTGTTGGCTAGCTGTTCAAAGGCTTCTTTACTGCACTTCATGTAGGAAAGAATTCATCTCTTGGCACTCATGTCAACCAGCCAGTGAAAAGCTGCTAAAACAGATTTAATTGTTGTAAATGTATCTGCGTTCCTTTCCAATCTAGAAGTATGTTGGATCTATGTAAAAACCAGGAAACAGTCCATTTTTTTAAAAAAAAAAAATCAGTTATGGCAATGTTCCCTTTGTACATAGTCATCTTCGAAAAGAGATTCTTCCAGGCACTGTCTGCTTGGTCTTCTTGCTCTTGGATGCAAGAAAGGAGCCACTGGAGAACTAGGAGCATATAATGTGGGAAGAGATCTGTAGGCCATTTTGGAAGTTTAATAGGCAAAAAAACAAAGTTCTTGTATGAAAAAGCAATAGGTGATCATCCACGTCATAATCTTTTCTGGTTTGCATTTTTAAGTTTAATGAAATCTTTGGTGAAGACATGGTATTGTGCAGCCTCAGGAAGTTGCAACAATTGTACATGATTTGACAGAAGCAAAACTTAAGGTTTGAAACAAGTAACATTTCTCCCATTTGTATATGTTGGAAAAAGAAGGAAAATGGCGGGGAAAAAGCACCAATATATCTGTTCTGGGTTTGCTTCTTTTTTTTAATGTGCAACTTTTTTTAGACAAAATCAGAAATATATATTATCAGTTTTAGTCTTAACATACATTTGTGTTTTTTAAACATAGTTTTGCACTGTAATTTGCATATTCAAATATTTACAAATTGTCAGGAATGAACATATCGATGAAATTTCATTAAGGGAGATTTTTGTTTGCAAAAGATTACTATTACTATCTTCTGCAGATCAGTATCCATCAAGGTAAACCAACTGTGGCTTACTCAAAATGTATTGAAAGACTTCACTTTTTTGTCCAGAATCTTTTAAGAATTTGTTCTTCTGTTACTCAGATAAGAAAATGAATAATTTTTAAGCGAACTGATTTCCGTTTTACACTGATAGTTTGCTGGATTGTAAATGAGACTGGTTTTATTTTAGTTAATAATTTACTTGTCAAGTTCATTATATATAGAGGTCATATCCTTTTTATTCTTAAATCCTTTGTTGAGTCATTGCTTACTAAGCAGCCTGTTTTGAAAAGGAAAGCATCAACTTTCATACTTGTAGGCATCTGGAATAGAAATATTTTCAGTTAATTTATCTTTATTTAATTCTATCAGTTGCCTTCCAAAATGCTGCCACAATGAATTTTTCAAATTATGAGTGGCACAGCTGACACTTCATATCCAATCATCGATTGGACTCACATGCCATGTTGAGCCACAAATTGACTAATCATGGTTAGTTGACTTAAATAAAGTATTGGTTGGTTCATAGATCACACTAAGAGTGGTGTGAAGATTGTAATGGTTAGGTTTACATATCATGATAAGCCAGAACCAAGCAATTCATGTCATAACCTAGTACATTCTGTTTTTATTTTTTATAATAAAGAAAAAAACACAACCCAAACCAAAAATTATATAAACACACACACAAAAGGAAATAACTTAGTTATTAAATTGAACTTTGATTACACAAAGAGGTATTATATCTGACTTTATGCCAATACAGGTAGTCCTCGACTTACGACCACAATTTAACCTAACATTTCTGTTGCTAAGCAAGACAGTTGAGTGAATTTTGCTCCATTTTACGACCTTTCTACCTCAGTTGTTAAGTGAATCACTGCAGTTGTCAAGTTAGTCACATGGTTGTTAAGTAAATCAGGCTTCCCCATTGATTTTGCTTGTTAGAAGGTCTCCAAAGGTGATCATGTGACCGCGGGACACTGCGACCGTCATAAATACATGCCAGATGTAAGTGTGAAAAATGGTCAGAAGTAACTTTTTCAGTGCCATTGTAACTTTGAAGGGTCACTCAAGAAATGGTTGTAAATTGAGGACCAGCTGTATAGGTTAAATTTAAATAAGTGTGCTGCTTCAGTCCAGGTTTAAAACTGGCTGGATAGTGTCTTTCCACAGGAAGAAAACCATTTATTTTTGCAGAAGTCCATGCCTGATAAATTCAGTTTTTCATACATTGTTGAATTCCGTATTTTGGATAATTGTTTAAACATTACCTTTAGAAGCTTTGAATCTTACTTTTCTTTCTAATGCTCTATTAAGATATTTATTAATACTAAACCAAAAAGGGACCAATATGTAGCAGGTCCATTAAACGTGCCGGTATCTCTTCCACCGTTTTAAGATCCAAACATACAGAGGATGAAATCCAGCTGTTGTTTAACATGACTGAGTGTGTCTCCAATCACAGCTGATTTTGAAAGTCCCCTCTGATTCATAAGCAGCCCTGAGCTTGGAGGAAAAATCTTGCTGGCTTGGGAGCAAACCCCCTCTCCCCCGCCACACACACATAACAAGGACGTAACAATATGTGTTGCATTGTTTCAATACAAACTCCGCTCCTTAGGTATTTTGTAAGTGCTGTTACATGCTAGCATGAAAAGGCAGAGCTTGCCTTCTAATGCCATTAAACATGGACCACTCTGTTGGGGTCATTGTGATTAGGAATCCCTGTGCATTCTCCCATCTACAGTATTGTTAAGGAATTTTGTGGACTTTATTGTGTAGGTGTTCATCACAAACTGCTCAAACTTGTGTTTCCAAAAGGGTATCACAGAAACTGATTAATCCCATTTTTTAAAAAGTGAAAAATTTAGTTCTTAAACCTGTATTTTAATCTACCTTTCTTGAGATAGGATGAAAAACAGATTTAAGAACCTCATTTCTCTCTTTATTTTTACCCAGGTGCAGTTTGGCTAGAAGGAGATGGAGGAGGTCAGCCCTAGAGGGTGGTTTTGAACTAATATTTTTTTCCCTCTCAGCTCATGCTAAATATATAAACATACTCATTTTAAATCTTTAACTATTAATTCTGCTATCCAGCTCTTAAGCCCTCAAATGAAAGCTTGCTAAAAGATTGAATTTATTTTAGCCATAGAGTGTCCTACAAAATTGACTATTTTATATAGCATATTAACCGAAAAAAATGATTTTAGGGTTGGAGTGTTGCACCTGCAGTATTGACGTATGAATTTTTTTTTGTATTCTTCATCTTCTAGTCACTGGGACCTTCATCAACATGCCTGCAGTGCAGTGGAACATTAGAGGTGTGAGAAATCTTTCAGTACTTCTCACATTCTTATTTTGCAGTCCCCAAGGCTCAAGGGTGGATGGAAGTTTATGCATAATTCTGAAGATCTATCTGTCAATCAATCAGAATAGAGCTGGAAGGGACCTTGGACCTTCTGATCCAATCCCCTGCTTAAACGGGAGACCCTACCATTCCAGACAAATGGCTGCCTAGTCTCTTCTTAAAATAAAAGTCTCCAGTGAGGGAGCACCCATCTGGAGGCAAGTTGTTCCAATGGTTAATTGTTCTCATTGTCAGGAAATTTCTCCTTAGTTCCAGGTTGCTTCTCTCCAGTGCTTTTTTTCTAAAAAAAAAAAAAAAGTGCCGGAACTCTCACACGACATACAACCCGCCTTGCCAACCCTATAAGGTTCCATCCAAAAAAGGTGCCGGAACTCCGTTCTGGGTGTTCTATGAGAAAAAAAGCCCTGCTTCTCTCCTTGATTAAACATGCGTGGGCATTTCTTCCACGGTTTCCATCCATTGTTTCTTTTCTTTCCTTCTGGTGCTTTGGAAAATAGGTTGACTCTCTCTTCTTTGTGGCAGCTCCTCAAATACTGGATCACTCCTATCACGTCACTCCTAGTCCTTCTTTTCTTTCAGAATAGCCATACCCAGTTCTATAAAACCCAGGTTTTATAGTAGGAAGGAGAGAACAGGGAGATGGGATGAGAATCCTACCATAATTTCAGCATATGGGAGTGGGGGGAACTACAGTGCATAAACAGTGTTAGTTCTAAGATCTTTACTTATGGTAATTTGGTACAGATTTGACCATGAAGCTGGAAGGAGCTATTTAAAGCACATAATTTAATTTCAGACAAGGCCTGTAGAAAATATCTGATTAAAATACTTTTTACAGGATGCCAACTTTACAATTTATTGTTTCCAAAGGAAGCCAGTAATTCCTGTAATGAGACATATTAGGAGTGAAAATCAAAATATTAATTTACATCCACTTTGTTTTTTTTAATAATAAATCACTTTTAAAATTGGTATCACAGTTGCGAAATGTTTAGAAGCACAGGGTTGTTTTTTTTAAAAAAAAACAGATATGGCAAGGTATCTATTAAAACTGGTGAATGTGAAATTTAAAACTTCAAGTGAGCATTTTCTAAGATGATTATTACTTATATTTTCTCGGCATACTCAAGTTTAGAATCAAGCCATGACAAGCATTGAGTAACAAGTTTGCTTGTTTACTGGTTAGATTTTAGATTTCCTCATGGAAACAACATGGTTTTACTCACAATCGTTCTCCTTTATTAAACCAATCATCTAATAAATACATACATAAATAAAGTGCATGTTAGACTATAGTGAAACTGATCAAGATTTACTCTGATGGTTTAGTTATATTCCTCAGGTTCTTTTTCATGATGATCCAGTCTGCAGGGTTCTCTGCTTCCTTCTCACCCTCATCTTGATAATCCTTGTTTTAACACAATGAGGAGGTGGGAAGCTTAACTTTATGCCCAACTAAGTTTAAATGACCTCTTGGAAAATGCCCACAAATAACATCAAGAGTGCTCGTATTACATTTATCAGGGGAAAAAAGGCTGGCTTTATATCTGTATCTCTTTCAATTTAAATGATCTGAATTAACTCTGCTATTATTCCATACACAAATAAAAGAAGTACGTGCAAATAAGCTGAACTCTGCTTTGTTGCACATTTCAAGGAACAAATGATGAAATACAGTTTCCTGTATTTCAACATTTTGTTTTGAGACAGCAATTTTATAAACTTTTTACCACGAACATGCTAAACCTTCCACTTATATTTTACCCATTTAACTGGATAGTAGGTTTTAATGCTGTAAAAAGTCATTGCAACTATTTCATTTCATTATTACCCTAATTGCCTCATGAGGGTTCCTTAATGTATCTCCTCTGCCTGCTAATTGTCTTGCTGTATGTCTTCCCAAAGGGTTTGGGAGTAATTTGATACAGAGAATGCTGGCTTTCATCCTATTAAGCAATTTCTATTACTGCAGTAAGATTTCCTATTTCTTTCCTCTGTGGTATTCTATGTTCCAGATTTGCTCGTTGGCCCTTCAAAACTAGCTTCAGAACAAATTTGAGAGTGAAGAGTGGGAGGTAGAGTGAAAGTACATGTAGTGCTCGACTTATGACAACAATTAAACCCAAAATTTCTGTTGCTAAGCAAGACAGGTGTTAAGTGAGTTTTTTCCTCATTTTACAACCTCGTACCATTTTTACAATCTTGCTTTGCCCCAGTTGTTGTTAACTGCAGTTGTTAAGTTAGTAACCCCAGGATACTGTACCTGTCATAAATATGAGTCAGTTGCTAAGCATCCAAATTATGATCACATGACCACGGGGATGCTGCAGTGGTCCTCAGTGTGAAATATGGTCATAAGTCACTTTTTTCAGAGCCATAGTAACTTCAAACAGTCTCTAAGCAAATGGTTGTAAGTCAAGGACTACCTGTATCAGAATTATATAAAAATACGCAACTGAATCCAGTCTATTAAGCAGATTGGATGAAAATGTTGAGAAGTAATATTTCTATTATTTCACATAATTCAGTAATATACAAATCTCAAAATTCTCAATATTATTAAAATTGTGTTTTCCTTGAATTCAAAGTTAGGCGCAGTTGAGTATTTCCAGGACCATAATCTGTGCTTAATTACTAGCCATTTCACTTTGTTTCCTTTATGTGAGGCCTACATAATCATAGCCAGATGATTGGTTCTTTGGGCAACATATGGGATACTTCTGAATTGATTTCCTGCTCAGAGCCTTTCATTTTTTTTTCATACAAAGATTCCAGACCAAGCCTGTGGCATCATTAATTTTTCAACACATAATTTGGTTAAATGAATAGCCGGCAAGTTTTTACGCCATGTGTTACAAGTACATGTGGAAAATGAACTGAGCAATTACACCGAAGGCATTTTGTTTCATATAAATCCTGTTTGTTCCATGAAGCCTTTCAAAGAAGCAGCTGGGAAAGGATTGACCCAGTGTTTGGAGTACAAAAGTTTGCCTTCGTAAAACGAGATTGATGCTGAGCATACCTGTCCAATGAATCAAACTGAGTATTTTATGCACAATGAGTTTCCTTGTAAATGAACACCTGATACAAAGTCAACTGCTTGAAAAGAATAAATGATTCCCATGAAAGCAGAGTCTCTCTTGTACTTTTGGTTAGCAGACAGAGGAAGTGCTTTTAGGACGTTTTAGCTTTCTGTTCAAGTGGCTTATAATTCGCATTATAATTTTGTCTCCTTGCAATGT